TCTCTCTCTCTGGTTGTCTTCGTCGACAACAATGTCTCTGCTTGCCAAGCTCTCGGTTCGCAACGGGCTCCTGGGCGTGGGGCAGAACAAGGTATGTCAGCCCTATCTGTGGTTGACTTGTAATCATCTGTTGTTTTCTGGGTTGTATGGCTGATGGAGTTTTGATGCCCCAACGAACGACAGGTTCGCATGTTGTCGACATTGACCCCTTATCTCCTTCTGGACAGGAATGTGGTGGGAAAGGCTTCGTCCGGCGGAAAGGCCATCAATTGCAACCTGTACGATCCGAGGAAGGGAGAGACGGTCAAGAGCCCAGCCTTGGAATTGTCAAAGGAGCTGCAGATGATAGGATCGTCGAGGGGATGGGTGGCTCTAATGAACGAGAGTGATTCCACCGTGCGTCTCACCGACATGTTAGAATAATCTTGTATGAGAATATTTTATTTTATGTTTAAATAATGTTTTGTTGATAATTTGAAATGGTCAAATTATCAAATCGAGTTTTAAGGGAAGATGGGTTGACAGGAGACGTGTTAGGAGTAGTTAACATTAATTTAGGATAGTTTGTTTTATTTATTTTCTTTATTTATACCTCAAAGGTTAATGTACAAAAAAATATAGAGTAATAAAATGGTGCCCTACGGGGCCAAAGTTAATATTTTCTCTTTCATTATTTTCTGAGTTAGAGTTAAGAAATGATGAAATGTGTTTGGTGTTTTTATGTTATTATCAAAGGATTTTGGGTTTGAAAGATTTGTAACACAGACCAGGCTCGTTTGCCAAGGTCGTATCCATGCCTCCCCTTATCCAACCAGAAGAGAGAAGAGACCATATCATCAACGTATATGTCTCGTCTCCTCCGGGGAAGGACGAGGACTGTGTGGTTGCGGCCAAGTTCCTTGGAGACTCGGAATGGACCCACATCAAAGCCCCTATGGAATTGAAAATGTCATCTGTCATGTATTCGGACAGAGACCGGGTGTTTTACCTGAACACTCTCCTGAGTGGTGGGTCGGGTGTGGCCGAATCCGGCTCCCCGCTGGTGAAATACCACCAGAGACTGCTCAGTCACGGCTCGCCCGGCGTGCCCAAGTCCGATATCAACAAATTCATCCTGCACATGGTGGAATCACCTTGCGGCGAGTCCTTCATCATTTGGTGGTATACTATCGTTACCTTCGTTTTATAACAATGATAATCCGGATCACTTCTGAAAACAAAACGTGGGCAGGTTCTTGGGTGACAAATCAGAAGGTTACAAGACCAAGCGGTTGATGGTGTTCAGGTCAGACAAGGATCAAGGGAAGGGGTGTTACACGGAAGACATAGGGGACCTCTGTATTTTCCTGGGACCTAGGACCGATCACTTCTGTGTACGGGCGAGAATGTACCCCGGCCTTGTCCCCAATTCCATCTACTTTGTAGGCTTTCACCACCCGGGCATCTACGACTTGGCCTCCCGCTCCATCTGCCTCCACGACCACATCACCTCTCATCCTCGCCTCGCATTCTGGCTTGCCCCCCTCCAGTCATCTGTCTAACTCTAGATCCTCTCGTGTTGTGCTATTTTACCTTAATCTATCCTCTTCGGTTCTGTCCTCCCAAGTGCAAACTGGCTTAAAGTCATGGCTTTTTACTTTTATTTTTTGTTAGACCGTGCAATTTTTTTCCAGAAGAATCCGGTTCTGATATTCTCAAACCGGATCCGGTTAAAGAGAAGTTTTTAATGCGGCCCAAAAGCCCAAAAACTTAAACCCATGAACTTGCAAAGAGAACAAAAATGGCTACGTCTCCTTGCCCTGCATCATCATTCCTCCAAAACTATCTAAAGATATCATTTTATTTATTTTAAGATAATTACTGGTTTTTATTTAAAACTTTTAGTTTTAAAAATATTATTTTACATGCTATTTCATCTTAAACCAAAATAAACTTAAAGGTTGTCCTTTTTCTAATTAAAATACATATTTGGATGTTTACAATAATTAATTAAAAATAGATGGTTTTTTAAGAAATTTTAAAATTATAAGTTTTTTAGTTTACATCTTATTAATATAATATAGAAAATAAAAAGAGTCATGTACAATTTGAAACATCTGAAATACTATTTATAATTACATATATATGATTATAAATTATTTACTTTT